TCACTTATCTTGGCAGTACCCTATCTCAGAGAGTCAACATCGACGATGAGATCAATGTTAGAATCTCAAAGGCCAGCAGAGGTTTCGGCAGACTTTATACCAGAGTCTGGAACAGAAGCAGTATCTCCCTGCTGACCACTCTAAAGGTTTACAAAGCTGTAATTCTTCCAGTGCTGTTCCGAAACGGGGACTGTGTATCAGCGCCATGCTAAAAAGTTGAATCAGTTTCATACAACCTGTTTCAGAAAGCTGCTCAAAATCAAATGGCAAGATAAGATCCCAAACACTGTGGTTCTTGATAAGGCAAACCTGCCTAGCATCCACACGATACTGAAGAATTATCAGCTGCGTTGGGCTGGTCACCTAACCCGCATGCCAGACTATCGTCTCGCAAAGAGATTATTTTATGGCGAGCTGTAGCAAGGTATGACAAAAAAGCGCTATGAGGACACTCTCATGAGTGCTCTCAATTCTTTTGGCATAAACACAGTGACGTGAGAGGCTGCTGCGCAAGATCGTTCTGGATGGCGTACGTTACTCAGGCCTGGTGCATAGGCCCGCCAGGCAGCGAAGGTTGCACAGGCAGAGAAACAGAGGCAGACGAAAAAGAATCGAGCCTGGGATTTTGTAGCGAAAGCCAACTGAAAATCTATGCAAGACAACCATCTAATACATAATTTGGAATACGACACAACATCATTTAGCATGAGAATGAAGGTGGGGGCGGTTACTGCAGCTCTCCGAAGGCTAAAGAACAAGATGCATACATATGTCGTAATTGTAACACACTCAGAAAGCTTGCTGACAAAGATGAGGACAGGTATGCTGCGAGCAGAGTGGCAAGCTTCACTGGAAAGGTCACGGTTAGTGAGCATACTTTTGATCTTTTCTCCAGGCTATGCCGGCGTGTTGGGTAATGAACAGACTGACAGATTAGCTGGATCTGCACCACTGGGTGGTGAATTGATACATGACAAAGCAGATGTGGTCAAGGCCCTTTGGGAACAAGCAACAGAATCAGTAGAGAAAGAAGATTATTATGGCCTGGAGAGAATGAGGCACCTGAGTGTAACCAGAGGTTCTGGCCTGCTCACTACACTTAGAGGAAAGGCAAGACGGACATGTAACTAGATTGTGACCGGTATTAACAGTATTATAACCCTGCCCTGGCTGCTGAAGATAAGGAAGGAGCATGCATGGGAATGCCCTGAGTGCTGTGATGTCGATTCTTAAAAATCGATAATAAATCAACGCAGTCAGCAGTTTGTTTCCATCGCGGTACTTTGGATTACGAGTCGGACTCGCAACGCCTTAGCCACGGACGCCGACTGGATCCCATGTATGATGTCCAAGAGATTGCACAGGTTGTCTGGGTGGCGGATGGACAGCCAATCCTATAGTTTATGAATCAAATCACAACACACACACACAAGCGCGCGCGCGCACAAAGGCACACATACATACACACATATGTAGACACACAATTTGTAATATATGTGTAACATATAAAGGTCCAACGAGACAGTGGGTGAATAAAAGAATAAAAGAGTGACGAAATGCTTATCAATAAGGGCCGTTGTTTCCACGTCCTTAGATGTATTGGGTATATATTATTAGATCTATATTCAATGGACCCGTTTTAGACTTGGGTTGACCTGGGTCATCTGAAAACAATTCCTGCTCAATGCGGATTTGAACCCATGACCTTCGGGTCTGCAAGCGAGCAGGTAGCCGCTATACAACCGCGGCTCTTACTTGGTACTGAATAAAGTTATTAAATTACATACGGCGTTCCAAGTTCGCTGCAGACAATTTTATAGCAGGCCGCTTTGCGTTGATTTCGTCATGGAAAAAGATATGATACTTTTTTAAACAAAAAGTGTCATCATCATCAACATCATTATCATTTTCGTAAACTGTCATCGCTGCCAACACACCACTATCATAATCATGTGCCGTGCCAATACACGCACGCGACCAATTTTTGAAGTCTCATACGATAACCAGAATCATGGATAAGGAATGTGTCCTTGTCTCGTCCCACCCGAAAGGCCAATGCGTACACATAGTATTGTCTTTAATGTACGCACGGAAAACCCAAAACAAAACAAAAATATATACACGCCCTGTGTGTATGTGTGTGTGTGTGTGCGTTTGTGCCTGTGTTTGCTCAAAAGGATGTAACAGGCAGTTAATTAGTTCTCACTACTTCATTTTTTTTTTCTCTACAATCTTGATTTCTGTATTCCTTGAAGGAAACCTACAATCCTTTCAGACACGGATATAGGTGGGGATAAAGTACTTAGAATTGAAATAATCACTCAACTTGCGGATTTTCAATGATTATCTGTATGAATTTGTTCTTTTAAAATAACAGTATATTAATTGCTTGGAATCGACTGTTACTAGTAGTTTACGTTACTTGTCACTCGTCATCCGAGCACTTCGGTCCGACACATTGGTTCTCAGTCCTCCGATATGTGCGTCGTTCAACCCCACCACGACTGTACAAAGAGCGACCAATACCCGGTGATACACAGTGTCACCATTCGGATGAGGATCACTAGGACATAATTCATAGACACCCCGTTCAATAATTAGGTTATATATAAGCCGGGGTGGGTGCTTTAAATGTCGTTCCACATTGGTGCGAGTCGAATTCTATATCCCTCCGCTGCAGTAGCCACATTGGTGTCCCAATGCCAAAGACAACGAGAATAACCTAGTTTCAGTGCACTCATCAATACGAATCAGAAAAAAAGCACACTTGTATTGTCTATAGGTAACCTTCAAACCGCAAGGTATAAGAAAATTAGACTGAGATGCTATGAAGTGAGGTGAACGAACAAACCAACTTTTAAAGGGTTTATAATTGGGCACACAGTTCTGTTTTACGTTCTACTCTTCTGAATGAGATGAGGTGATGAGAAGAATGGGAAAGACATGGATGGAGATAGCAGCAGAAAGTCAGTTTTGTGCTTATGATCCAGTAAATATACAGTGCAGCAAATGAGCAGCAGCAGCAGTTAAATAAGGAGGAGGAAAAGAAGAAGAAGAAGAAGAAAAAGAAGAAGAAAAAGAAGAAGAAGAAGAAGACGAAGAAGAAGAAGAAGAAGAAGAAGAAGAAGAAGAAGAAGAAGAAGAAGAAGAAGAAGAAGAAGAAGAAGAAGAAGAAGAAGAAGAAGAAGAAGAAGAAGAAGAAGAAGAAGAAGAAGAAAAGGAAGAAGAAGAACGAGAAGGAGGAGGAAAAGCGAAATTATTAAAGAACGAACGAACTTTATTCAAAAGGTAACAAATTGGGCACGCAGGCTTGTCTTACATTCAGCCCTTTCAAACACTCGTCTTACACACATCAGTCGTATTTTTTTAAATAACGCATGTTATGTTCGTATAGTATTATGCACATTATAAATGTGAACCCAAAAAAAAAAAAACATGGGTCGTAAAATGCATGCGCACACCCACACATACACACGTCGATTCACTCACTCATTCACTTACACTCACATACATACACACCTATATACACCCCTACATACACACCCACATATAAGTTTTCATACATAAAAATACACACACTCATACACACACATTCAAACAACATGTATACATACATACATACATGCATAAAAAATACAGACAGGCAACCATGCATACATGCACACAAATACACAAACGCAGACACGCACACAGACACACATAGATAAATAGGCAGACACACAGATAGACACACACAGACACACACATACACGCTGACAACACACATGAACAGAGGCACACACACTCAGATAGACAAACAGGCAAACATACACACAGAGACACACATACAGACTCACACAGACACACATAGACACACAAACACAGACACACACAGACATATAGATGCACACACATACATACAATAGGAATAGATGCATACAAACAAACACATGTACACACAGACACACACAGAGACACACACGCAGAGACAAACACACACAGACACAAATTCACAGACACACACACAGATTCACACAGACAAACAAACATACACACAGCCACACACATACACTCACAGACACACACAGATATACACGCAGACAAACATACACACACACAGATACACACAGATACACATAGACACACATGCAGACACACACTCGGACACACACAGACACACTTACAGACACACAAATAGACCTACAAAAAAGACATACACAAAGACCCACCCATTCACACAGACACACCCATACACACTTGAGGCATAGATGCATACAAACACGCACAATATGTACACACACAGACAAGCACACAGACATACACACACCGACCCACACACACACAGACACACGTAGCCACACACAGACACACGCGCACATAGAAGAGGGAGGACACATAGATGCTTTTCTTCGAAGCGACAATAAACGGATGTTTTTATCATGTATCCGAGTACATTGTTTGGAAACAGGAAAGTAACTTGCAATGGGGTGTTCAAGAGTTGTGACGTTAGAAGTTGACGTAACCCTTCCTCAGAATAACGGTATATATAACTGCACCAACCGCCGGAGATAGGTACATCTGTTTGTTGTCAATGGTAAAAATTATTGCAGAGATATCCTGACTATATTTTGAGTCGTTACAAGTAACACTTTAAAAAGTTGCTAGAAAAAAAAGGTAATTTACAGTAAATACTTTACAGTTACTTTTATATTGAAAGGTTGTTGGTATTTGTGTGAGTAAATCTTTCTACCTGTCTCTCAATATATTTGGTATATGTTAGCAGACTGGGTGGTGAATCTGTTGCTCTAGCAGTAGGTGGGACTATGTTTCTGTCTGTCTGTCAGCCTGTCTGTCTGAATGTGTCTGCCTGCCTGCCTGCCTGCCTGCCCTGCCTGTCTGTCTGTCTGTCTGTCTGTCTGTCTGTCTGTCGAGTGTGTTCGCATGTTTGCGTGCAATAAACCTTACTATTTTCTTTCTTTTTTAATATAATCCATCATTAAATAGAGCGTCATCAAACTACAATGAAGTACCCTCAGATAGTTGCATGCCTTGTCACTGGAACCATCGGCTGTATATTTATCCTAATCGGAGAATCAACGCCTCAGTGGATCACATATGGCTCCACTCTTACCGCTGGCTTGTTTACCGCTTGTGGAGTGAATGGATGTGTGTCATACATAGCTGAAGGTAAGTGTGATATGAGCGTATCATAGGGTTTCCTGTCTTCGTCTCTGTAGTGCATTAACGACCCACAACATAAACACGCATATACACAAACACAGACACAATACACGCATTCAGACACCATAGATACATGCAAACACAGAGAACACAAGAATACAACACATACACACAGCACATACATACAAAGACAAAAAACACAGACAGACACAACACGTTCACACAGACACAGCGTACACACACAGCACAGCATACATCGACACAACATACACAGGCGTACGCACTCTCACAGACACAACCATATAGACACAGCCTATTAACACAGGCATAATATACTCACACTCAACATACACACTTACACTCACAGACAGACAGACAGACAGACAGACAGACAGACAGACAGACAGACAGACAGACAAGCAGGCAGACAGACAGACAGACAGACAGACAGACAGACAGACAGACAAGCAGGCAGAAAGATAGGCAAAAAGACAGATCGAAACTTGCTGGGGCTGGTGTTCAACGTCCTCTAAAGGTATACACATAACATTTAAAAATCCTGCTGATAACTTCCATCGTTCGTCATGTAACAACTGGGTCCAAAAAGTTGAAATTATTGACCTCGTTAAGCATTGTTCTATTGTTTCTGTTAAGAAACTCTAAAGAGAAGGTTGCGAGTACATGATTTGAAAATCGAGAACTAGCCTTTAAACAGCATCTTGTCTTGAAAGCTGAAGTATTTATATCATGGTGGCCTAACATAACTCCAGTGAGTTGTGACTAAAATGCTTATTGAAATGAGGGAGCAGAACAAAGTGCACAAAACACACAAACTGACGTTTCGGCCTGGGTCTTTCTCGACAAGAACTAACATTACAACAAAAAAGAAAGAGGAGAGTACTCCAACTACATGCGCCTACCAGTTCACGTGAGAAATTATAAAAAAGATGATATGGGATGAATAAAATAAAGTGAAGAAGGCTAACAAAAGGTAGTAAAATTAGTAGTGATAATATCTAATATTAGTTGGGGGGGGGGGAGGGGGGAAGTGTATAAGAAATACAAATGTTAATGATCCATAACTAATACTGATAAGATGACTAATAAAAGGATAATATAAAATTTTAAAAAGTATTAACAATAATTGTAATTAAATTTTAAAAAAATGTGACAGTATTAAAACTGTTTACATAAAGGTATGCTGGACATTGATACCTCTTGGACTTAGAACACCTAGACTATGGATGAGGCGATTTTCCAAAACGAGGCACGTGGTAAGATCACCGGAGCAATATTTTATCGCGGTGACTGATACATCATCTATGCCTCTGTGGTCAGGGCTGTTGGAATTGCCTAGTAAAACCAAAACAGCCTACAAATGATGGGATTGTTTTCTACAACATCATGTACAGGATTGGCAACTAACTTTTCTTGTACCCCCGATATTCAAGACATGTCATACATTTTTTCTTTCTTTTTTATTATGTTGCTGTTTTTGAAATATCGGTTTGAAATATGTACAATGACTGTCATCAATGCCGCTTATATTCCTACAGGTGGCATCATTCCAGCAAAGGCGTTTGTGGTGATAGGGTTCCTGACCTCAGCTGCAGGACTCATTGTTCTCATCGTCTACTACTGCAAGCATCTTCGCAACGACACCACTCACAAAATCTTATCTATGGTCACTGCCGTACTCTTTATCATTGCAGGTACAACAAACAGGTTCTTTGCAACTATGAATTAACCTCATAATTTTTATGTAATTGTCTCACGCAAAATAAACGGTAGCAAGAATGTGTTTTTTTTAACGTATTGCGTATTATATTATATTATATTATTAAGTGGTATTTTTCCAATATCTGTGTGACTGCCTGTCCATCTGCGCGAGTCTGTCTGTCGGTCTACTTATCTGCCTGACCACATTTCTACCTACCCACATACCTATCGGTATCTTAGCCCGTTCGTACCGTGTATGTTTTAATTTGTGTCATAAACCCTGGAAATTACTGCATTACTACGCTACTGCATTTGTAAGGAAACCCGACTAAATCTATTTCTATTTACTATATTCATACCCGCGGACCCTAAATACCACGCAGGCGAACATTTAAAAAATAAAATAAAAAGGAACAGAGTGAAGCATTTAATGGAATCAATTTCCTGGGGTCCGAAACAAATATGTGTGTGTCTGTGTGTGTGTAAGTAAGTATCTTTAAGGTTAGGCTTATATTTACGTTTCCAATTTGCCTTAGTGATAGAGGTCACAGGTCACAGCATGAGTCACCGGATACATATTTATATATCGGGTGACTCATACTGTGACCTTAATCACTGAGACATATGGGAAACGTGAGTGTCAGCCGGACCTTTAAGATCATAAGGAACACCCTCTATATTTATTTTAAATTGATTGATTTTTTTACACCCGGACCTCCTATACACTATGCAGGCGCACACTGAGCCAATGATATTTCAATTTTTGTGTTTGTGGATCATTGAAGAAATGACGGTGCTTTCTTTGTAGCCAACCACAAATGACGTCATGGGACAGTCCAGTAATTTAGAGGGTGGTAAGAGCGGGTTTTCCGTGGTTTCTGTGCTTTATCGTGTTTCTGCTAAGGTCAAGGTTTTCACCCGTTTACCTAACCCTAACTCCAACCAAAACTAAACGCTTAGTCTACCACTCTCTGAAATATCTCACTGTCCCGTGACCTGTGGATTTCCAGTTTGTGGTCGGCTAATAACAAAGTACCAAAATGACTATGTATAAATCCTTTTCTAACGAAAGTGACTAGATTTAGGCTTCTCGGGGCGAGGGGTTAATAGTTACATACAAGATTGTTTTTTTCGAGACAATATTTAAACGGTATTACTTGCAAACTGCTCAGTGTGCTACATTGTTGTTTATCTTATTTAAAAACATTCCACATCTTTCTATGCTATATTTCAATTCAAATAATATTTATATCGTGTAGTTGATAACTGATGTTTTATTATACTGCCTTGAGTGCTAGAGGTCCCGAGTTCAAGCCCGGGTGAAGGCTGTGATTTTTTTCACGTGGATTTCTAGTAATTTTGCCTGGTCTATGGGTAGTGAGAATAGGACGCCCGCGTTTATTCTTGCACACGTAAAAAATCCCTTGGCAGCTGGAAATCGAAAAGCTTAATGGCTCTACCTGGGCAAAATTTGGAGTTAAAAATATACCAAAAGTATTTCAGGATCCCCGTGCACTGGGCTGATATACTTCAGACTCAGGCTTGAGTTAGAAGTAGAAAGGAAGCACTTATGGGTTACACCCGTGCGCCATAATGTTGATCCGTCGAATAAACATAATCATATCTCCTACTAATAAACTGGTGTTTTATATTCTCATTTATGTACTAACAACAAGTTATATTTTCTTATTTCAGCTGTTGCATCTCTCATCGGCCCCATTATCTTTGCTACCAGCGGAAAGAGTTTGTTCGAAACGGCATTTGAACGTAAAATGGACTTGGGCTATTCTTTCGCCTTGACCATTGTTGGCGCTATCATCACGGCTATAGCTGGTGCTCTGGCACTTATCCATCGGCTGGGATTACAGAATTAACAGCGCCTGGGACTACAGGACTAACCTAGAACTACAGAAAGAACATCATCAACAGCTACTGAACATCTCATATTTGTGTTTTCCATGGGCCTTGTTTTTTTCCCTTCTTTTTTTGTTCCCTTTGTGTGTATGTGTGTGTGTGTGTCCGTGCGTGCGTGCGTACTTGTGTGTGTGTGTGTGCGTGTGTGTGTGAACATGGCTAAAAAGAGAAATCCCTTTTCATACCTATCCCCAAAACAGACAGTGGATTGTGAAGAACATTGGACAATTTAGTTTAATGAATCATATAACTAAATCAGTAATGAGAATAAGGTGAAAACTTAATCTGCAGTAATCCTCCTAGTGTTTACTTTTGGGGAGAGACTGCATTTACACTTTACAGCACGACTGTGTGTGATTTAACGGATTAGAAGTCCACTCTTTCTCACACACACACACACACACTCTCTCTCTCTCTCTCTCTCTCTCTCTCTCTCTCTCTGTTTGTGTGTGTGTGTGTGTGTGTGTGTGTGTGTGTGTGCGCGCGTGTGTCTGGGTCATGCAACAGTCACTTATTAAACAGCATTGTCACTTGTACGTTATTTAGTTGCTCGTTATTTCTGTTGTGCTATTTTGTTATTTTATCTTTTATGCCCATTCTCTTGACAGAGTTATGAATAAGCACTCCGGACACACACATAAGTGCTCAGATTAGCCCTTCAACATATTCATCAGCGTCGCGCAGTTAAAAGTGGTAGTCTTATGCTGGTTAAACAAGACTTTTTGTCTGTTTACCTGAACACAAGATTACGAGTTTATTAATTTCTATTTTAACCAGTAGGATAGTAAATAAACTAAACCGACTAAATAGTGAAATGTGTTTGCAATCTTGAGACTGGTAATGATCTAAAGTGGACTAAAATATCCCAATCTTCTTTTAACCATGTGGTTATCCTGTTATCGGGTATTATTAGTTTTATCTTTATAGCAAACGGGTCTCTCCGTAGTTGACCAGATCCTTTGCCAAAAATACACACAGACACAGACATAATCTACACCACTGTCTCTTGTGGAAAAACTGAGACAGACTGCAGTCTCCGCATATACACTAGCATACACACGCATTAAAATCAAAAGACAGCGATCAGAATTGCCTACTCAGACATTCCAATATAAGAAAAGCAGTTCGTCATCGCCGGAAGTAGCAGTTACAAACAGACCAGTAGCTACACACGCGAATAATATGAATCACATAAAGCACAATCCACTCTGTAGCACCAGACCGCTTGCCATTTTCTGAAGCTGCAGTTCAAAGCATCTGGTCAGTCACAGTCGAAATACACCTCAAAATTAATCCGCAGCTCAGAGTGTGGCGCCATACACTCAACTCAAGCAGCTGACCAACAAAACGTTATAATGTCAGTCTAAAAATGAAAGAAAATTCAATAGCCACTGTCTGTCAAAAGCAAAAAAAAATTGCTACGACTCAAAACACTGAATGTGCCTATCATTTATTTTTACCGGAAGCCACCATCGTTCGGTACCAAAGAACTTACTGTACATCTCTAAGTCACTGGGTCAATTACATAGTATTATTTGCGTCTTCTGTCACATACTATTTTATGTTAACCCTTTGTATCTGAATTACTAGTTTACCTACTTCTGTCCTCCACTGTCCCTGTTTAGCTCCTTCAGACATAAGTATTTACTGCTTATGAACTTAACCTTTTGAAACAGAATGTGTTAAAGTAACAGCTGCTTAGGACCGGAAGAGTCACATGAAATAGAAGTAGCAATTTTTGAAATAAAGTAAAAGTCAACGATCTAGAATGGACTAACATAACGTCAGACTAACAGCTATTTTTAACCACTTGGATGTTGCTATTAAATGGCCGAAAATGTATTAAAATATTTCACATGCGCATGCACACACACACTCTCTCTCACACACACACACACACACACTAGAAGGTCGAATGTGGTGTGTATGATTGGCTCTTTTAGATTAGCATCCAGGATTTAACTCTTCAAGTCACAGATATTATATAACAAACTAACAGACCTTGTATTGATTGGCATTCATTTAAAGAAGTAGAAAGACAGAAGGACACACTAGACAACATGAAAATCGAATGTGCGTCGCTGTGGAAACAAATGCACCACTATGCAAGATCAACTACTCCATCTCAGCATATTTGCGGTCTTTACCGAGATTGTCTGGAAGGGGGGAACACAGCTGCCTGGTTTCAGTGACGATTCCTAAGGGTTCCTACTTGGCCAGGCGTCTTAGTCATTAGACAGGCACTCCAACCTTTCGCTGCAAGAGCTTCAGGTACTCACGCTATTAAAACGTCATGATGGTACTGTCAATAACCTGCTGATAAAAGGTACTGGTCCACGGAAAAGATGTACATTTTCAGGAGTGAACAAACAGTGAAACATCGTTTTAGGAACCCAGACGCAGGATGGTACAGGGAAAAATTAAAAAGTTAAAACACCATCACAGCCTTTATCAATGATGATTCTCTATCTGCCCGAGCAAGCTGTTTATCTGTCGAGGAAAGTTGTCTGAGAAAGACCCGGTCTTTCTATGCTTCCCAAGATACATAATCCTGACAATCCAGGTAGACCAATCGTGTCCGTCCTACGCCTGTCCCACAGAACTGACTGATTTCCCACCCGTAAATTGCAGACCCTGGTCGTTGGTCTCCCGTCTTATATCAAGGTCACCAACCATGTTATCTCCCGTCTTTCAATCGATTCGTCTCACCTCTCCTTCCAGGTGCCACATTCTAATGGCCTCCAGGCTCAGCTGTTCTTTCTGGATCGTAGAGTCTTCCTTTCTATAGCCACTGAACTCAGTTTAATGGCCACTACTTCTGTGATGAGGTGCTGTGCATGGTCCTCACGATTACATAGTGGCAAGCAGAAACTCCGTGCAACAAGGGACAGCACGAGATACTTGTGCCTAGTCGAGGCCGCGAGGAAAAGCCCGAAACAGCTATGCAAAAACTCGTAGGCTCAGTCGATCATGATCGGGTCTAGGCAAGACGGTTGTAGTATTTGAAGATGTCGTCTTTTTTGTCGCGAGAAGGTGAATGTTTGAATATGTTGCGAGTGATCAAGTGGTGAATAATGTTTGAACATGTTAAATAAATGGGTCGCCATTGACAGAATTACCAAGAAGCTTGCGGCGTTGGCGTTGTCAATAGACGTTAAAGGGTGCAAGTTTTGTAGCGTTAAACATCCAGAGAGTGAGCCGTGGCGTTAAGCCCATAGGCAGTAAGCCAAAGGCGTTCCAAGTATGGGTTGCCATTTGGCGTTACAATGAAGCATCGGTTCATTCCAAGTAAGGCTTCGACTCAATTCAAGAGAAGTCACGTCTTATTACAACTTCAACCAGATCAGCAGACTCACCGTGGGCATCAAAGCGGGACTTATTTACGTCTGCTTCTCCATGGGCCATGTCGAACATCAGAAACAGCATGCAAAAACTGGTAGGCTCCCAGCTGATGGCTGCATCGGTGTCTACGACATGCCCATGCCTGTACTGCAGAACTTTCTCCATTCTCAGTTAAAAACCCTGGGTTGCCACTGGCGTTGAATACCATGGGTTGCCATTGGCGTTAAATACCCTGGGTTGCCATTGGCGTTAAATACCATGGGTTGCCATTGTCGTTAAATACCATGGGTTGCCATTGGCGTTAAATACCATGGGTTGCCATTGGCGTTAAATACCATGGGTTGCCATTGGCGTTAAATACCCTGGGTCGCCATAGGCGTTTAAAACTCTAGCTACGCCACTGTTCAAACCTACGGATTCTCACAGCTATCACCTCTATACATCGTCTCACACACTGTCTTGTAACAATTATATTCCATACTTCAAGCTCCTCCGACTGCGAAGATTGTGCTCTGATGGCTTTGGCTTCTTAGATAAATTATATGAACTTCTCGACTTCTTTTGTGCTCTTTTCTACCCGGAACACATCCTACGAAACGTTTTGAACAAAGTACTGCCCACCACATGGAGAGATGCTTTTCCCATCAAACGTAATTCCACCAATGATGAGCCAAATTAATATTTACGTTTCCTCGGAGCAGTGTGGTGGCTTCTTAAGTACTATTTTGCCACTTAGGCATCCAGCTCTCTAATCAAGACGATCTTTAGTGAGAAACCTGGATTAATATACAGGCGTGACCACAGCCTTTAAAGATACAATCGCCAGAAACCGGCTTCAAATGATCCATACACAACTTCCTTTTGAGACTAAGGAATGATCCCGCACAGAATGCAGTAAATGTCCAATAGACGTCAAGATCTCATCGGCTAGGTTCCTCAATGAAGAAGAAGGAGGGGAAAGGGGGAGGGGAGAGTGGGTTGCGTGGTCTCGATGCATCGTGTCTTCCTCGAGTGCTCGAGGTTCCGGGTTTTAATCAACGGTAAGGGCTGAGATTTGTTCACGTGGACTTGGACTTCTAATAATTTCTCCTGGTCTCTGGGTAGTGATATCAGACGCCCGTGTGCATTGTTGCGCACGTAGAAAATCCCTTGGCAGTTGTAAATCGAAGAGTAGCTTAACGGCGCTGCCCGGGGAAAATTTGGACTTAACAATCTACCCAAAGTTGTTCAGGATCCTCGCCGGTGCTACAGAGCCTGTGCACTGTGCTGAGCTTCTTCAGACTCAGACTTGAGTTAGAAGAAGAACAGAGCACGTATGGGATACTACTCGTGTGCCATGATGTTGATCCGTAGTTCAAAACCGAAACCAAACTTCAATAGTGTTTTTTCTCTTCAAATTACTGAAGCACCTAAATGTGAATCCCGAAACATAATTTAAGCCATAATCTGTGATCGATACAGCTGTATTGATAAATTCGGCAGAAATCAGCTGATCGTTTCATGGACCATCTCTCAGATATTAAAAAGAAGACGCATAAACCAATCGCTCTCCATCTCAACAACTATCTTGCTCTGGTGATCAGACTACGCGTCTCTGTTTGGAACATTTCTCTCACCGATAGTCTATGTGTTCTAAGCCCACGAGGTATCAATTTCAGCATACCTTCATCTAAAGTTTTACTATTTTCAATTTTTTTATAATAATTTTTTTTTTTTTTTTACTTTAAATTTTTATTATTATTATTTCAAAATTCTATATCTTTTTTAGTATTGGTTATGGAGCATTGACATGTTTATCCCTGCTACTATAATATATTATCGCGATTACTTTTATGACTATTTTCAAGCCTTCCTTTATTCTATTTAAGTTGATTCGTTCCACATCACCTTTTCATCCTCCTATAATTCAAAGTGACTCCTGGAGTGTGAAAGTACATGAGGCGGGAGAACTGGCGAGAGACCGAGTTTCTTTCAGGCAGACAGTGATGAGAGCGACGTTCTGCAAAGGACCTGCTACATGATAATAATTCAATAGCTGTTCACGTGACTCCCTGGTGGGCACTGGTAGTTGAAGTACTTTCCCCTTTGTTATTGTGTGTAGTTACTTTATGTTGAGAAAGGCCCCGAGACTTTTAAGTCACAGTTCCTTGGATAATTTTTTTTTGTTCAGCAGTTTTAGATGTCCATCAGTTAGATGTCATGTTGCCATAGCAGGTTGCTATGTTGATCACCAGAGGACAGGACCGTCTTAACACATGGATCCGATGGGCACTTGTCCCTCAGATAGGAGGGGGGGGGGGGCGCACGTGCAAAGGGACCCTATTTCTAATATGTGTATGTAAGTCGACTTACCATTAAAAATAAAAAATAAAACAATAAAAAACGTAATCTTTGCCTAGTGAAATCCAAAAAGTAAAAAAAAAAAAAGCTAAGATTTATTCTTCAAAATACTACTGCGTCTCGATGTCGGACGCAATTTAATTGTTTCAAAGCTCCACCCTGGTTGTTGCCCTGAGCTCTAATATAACCCAATCTATTGGTTGAACGGGACGTCTGGGCCTATAAATGTAGAATACCCAACAAACTGACTAATTTTTGAGTTACATGTCTTCGAGTAACCGTTTCGCTAACTCATTCACTCACTCTTGTGACCAAATAATCTATTTAAAAAAAAACACAGACAACACGTCTAAGATTTTTTTGCTCGTATGATTTTTACATTATAGACAATATGAGGGGAGGTTTATTAGTTCCAGAGTAGCGCGGCTAAAATCACTTATAACACAGTTGCCATGTACCTAGATCAGGATTTAATACCATGAACAGATATTATATAACCAGTTATTAAAACTTGTTTTGCATTAAGTGAAATTTTCACAGCGAACATTAGCAATCACCACTTTCTAATCTCTACTATATTGTGATAATCTGGTAATTTATTTTAGTGCGTGTTTATATTAATTTCACCCTGCTATGCCAATAGTGAAGAAAGATTTGAAATGCGTTATTTTTAGTCACCATGTGTCCAGATTTTAGAACGCGGTGACTTAAAATAACGCATTTCAAGTTGTTCATACGTCAACCAATGGCAGAACGCTAAGATTTCTGGAAGCATCCGTGATTCGTAACCTGCGCCCGGAACTCAGTATACAGAAAGAGATGGTGCTTTCTTGATTGACTGACTGACTTTCTACCCCACTAGGACATCACACAAGCAATAAACACCCGATGACACAAAGTGCCACCATGCGGATGAGGATCACCGTGGAGAGGTCCCAGAAACCGCGTTCAGACAATTGGCCATATTGATGGCCAGCCTATATTGCGGCCCCTGGCAAAAGCCAGAGTGGGGCTTCAAATAACAAAAAAATTACGTCCTAAGAAGGACGTAAGGAATGTATCATATGGTGCTTTCTTTACAGCTGCCCTTGTAAAAACAGGCAGTCAGGTAGTGTTTGATCGTTGTTGAAACTGTACTTCAGTTGTAAAGGATTCACTTATTTGCTTTATTTATGTAATTGGTACTGTAGTATGCACCTGACGAGATACAGCGAAATATGCCAGGCAATAAATTGTGCATTCTATTGTTTGTGTCTTCTTTGTTCAAATTTACAACGGGGAAACATTGCTTTGATACTAAATTATACTTATCAACCATGCTCGAGCTGGCTCGATTACCTATCGTCTTTGAAACTGCTAAGCTTAGGGGCACACTACAGATATTGACAAGGGAAAACAGAAGTATTAGTGTAACCTACTGTTAAAAGCGACAGTAATTAACATCACAATAATTAGCTAACTAAAAGGCAAAGTTAGGTACATGTATTATGTAACAAATAGGAGAGAATGATAATGAGTCAACCTCTTTAGAGAGAACGAATTACCAAATTAATTAGTAACTAAATGGCAAAGTTAGATATAAAGAAACAAACAGGAGAAAATTAAAATGTGATAATTTCTTGGGAGAGAACGAATTACCAAATTAATTAGTAACTAAATGGCAAAGTTAGATATAAGATAACAAATAGGAAAAATAATAATGTGACAACAGCTTGAGAGAGAACGAATTGCCAAATTAATAAGTAACTAAAAGGCAAAGTTACATATTAGGTAACAAATAAGAGAGAGTGATAATGTGTCAACCTCTTGCGGGAGAAGGAATTGCCATAATAATAAGAAAATTAAATGGAAACGTCAGGTATAAGTTAACAAATAAGACAGAGCATGTAAATATGTCAACTTCTTGAGAGAGAAGCAATTAATAAACTCAGTCTTTCAGAGCATTGATTCTAAACTTTAACAGTCGCGTTCTGAGCAGGCAAAGGACTGGCAACACTTGGATTCGCCTCATTTGTTCTAGTTGTGTTGCTGTTCTGGGCTGTCTGGTTTGCATACAGGCCTCTCCAGTCCTGACCGAACCACCAGTTGGGGGTCATCATTTGGGAAAGGGCAGGATTACCGTTTAGACGATCCCACATGGCCGATCCCCTTCCACTTGGTTGTCTTTGTTGGAGGCGTCTCTGCAGTTGCTGTGAAATAAAACAATCACAATTACCGACACAGTGATTCGCACATTTCACCACAAAGGATTCATTTATTCAATCATTTAACTGTGACCACTTTCAGCTAAGAGACAGATAACTTTGCTGCTCTTAGCCCTGTCCGCTGTATTCGTGGTGACGTTTCTTGTCTACATCCTATCTAGTTTTGAATTGTGCTTTCAAATGATTCACATTTTATGCTTCGTTATATGCAGAGGTATCTGTAGTAATGCTCCTGACCAGATACAGAGAGATATTTCGGGCAAAAACGGTACCATGTATTGTTTGTATTTGCATTATTTAAACATACAACACGAGAACTTGTGAAATATAATTTCGTTGATTTATAACGGTTAGTTACGGTGCCGCTTTGTGGCTTATGGGCTAGTGAAATCGTTTCAAAATGCAGTCTTTGATGTTTACGAGAATTCGATACTCATGGCAAGCATGTGCCTTTCAGAAAGTGAAACGAGAGTTCCGCTGTGGAAAAGATTGAGGCCTCACTAGGAACAGTTATCACTGCCTACTATTGCAGATAGGCTCAACGTTCTGCAAGCAAAGTCATACCTCATAGTAGCTGCAGACATGAAGCACCTGGGTAGAGCTAAGGGTCACATACTTAAAGGAGGAAGGTCATGAAAAGCGTAAGATAAAGACACAATTAGACTACTGTGCAGGCTTGATAAATTTGGGAGGAGAGGAATGGGTCAAAGTGTCTGAGCAAGTTTGTGACATGTGTAAAGTTCTTATTATATTACTTTAGGTCGTGAGTGCAGCGGCTGGCCAGCTGGTGCTGCAGAATCAGAAGTTCAACAAATGATTCATAACAATTCCCGCTCAGGTGATGTGGTTATCTATTCACATGGCTTTGTGATAAGGAGCAGGTGGAGTGCATGGGGATTCATAGCAAAGGTGAATGGAAGTCGCTTAGTGCAGCAAAGCCTGGCATATGATATTACAAAGTTTAGTTTGAGAATGGAGGTGGAGGCAGTCACTGCTGCCTTCCGATTGTTCGAGAATCAGCTGTGCACACATTCCGTGATTGTAACTGACTCACAGAGCATGCTGAGAAAGGTGGAGACAGGCATACTCAGTGCAAAGTGGCAAGCATAACGTCAAAGGTCCTGGGTAGTTAGCATCTTTTTGATATTATCTCCAGGTAATGCTGGTGTGTTGGGAATTGAGCAGACACATAAACCGGCCGGCTGTGCACCAGTTTTGTCCTTCTGTCTTTCTACTTCTTTCTATGAGTGCCGATCAATACATTGTCTCTTTCTTCATTTAACTCACACCGCTTCGTCCGGATGTTGCGTTAGCGGGCCCTGACCCAAATCTTACAGTCAGTT